GTCAACTTTACTTACAATTTAAAAATATTTTAGTCATCATTTAAGACATCTTTAAGTGCTTAAAGGCTACGTGAAAACCGGAAAATAAGGATCCATCCGCACCTTTCCGTCATCTTTACACATACGTATATTACCATTAAAAATGCTTAAACAATAAAAATACGTTAACTTTACTTACAATTTAAAAATATTTTAATCATCATTTAAGACATCTTTAAGTGCTTAAAGGCTACGTGAAAACCGGAAAATAAGGATCCATCCGCACCTACGGAAAGACCACGTAACGTTGATCTTTACGTACTCGTATAAAACATGTATAGATGCGTAAAGACGGAATATACGTCGACTTTAAGCATAGTTTAAGCATCCGTAAATACCGTTTTTCGTGCCGTGTTAGCGTTAGGGCACCGGAGGTACCAGAAGGTCAAGTTTGGTGTCGTTTGAAAGGTATTAGCCCCAGTATCAAGGTCCGTAAACTGTTACAAATTATCATGTATGGTTTGGGATTTATAAGTGTTTGAAGTTTTAAGGGCCGCCTTAAGGTAGGGTTAGGGTTAGGGCAACGGAGGTACCAGAAGGTCAAGTTTGGTGTCGTTTGAAAGGTATTAGCCCCAGTATCAAGGTCCGTAAACCGTTTACACCAATCATGTATGGTTCGGGATTTATAGGTGTTTGAAGTTTTAAGGGCCGCCTTAAGGTAGGGTTAGGGTTAGGGCACCGGAGGTACCAGAAGGTCAAGTTTGGTGTCGTTTGAAAGGTATTAGCCCCAGTATTGAGGTCCGTAAACCGATTGCACCTATCATGTATGGTTTGGGATTTATAAGTGTTTGAAGTTTCAAGGGCCGCCTTAAGGTAGGGTTAGGGTAAGGGCAACCGGAGGTACCAGAAGGTCAAGTTTGGTGTCGTTTGAAAGGTATTAGCCCCAGTATTAAGGTCCGTAAACAGTTTGCACCAATCATGTATCGTTCGGGATTTATAGATGTTTGAAGTTTTAAGGGCCGCCTTAAGGTAGGGTTAGGGTTAGGGCAACCGGAGGTACCAGAAGGTCAAGTTTGGTGTCGTTTGAAAGGTATTAGCCCCAGTATTGAGGTCCGTAAACCGATTGCACCTATCATGTATGGTTTGGGATTTATAAGTGTTTGAAGTTTTAAGGGCCGCCTTAAGGTAGGGTTAGGGTTAGCGGCACCGGAGGTACCAGAAGGTCAAGTTTGGTGTCGTTTGAAAGGTATGAGCCCAAGTATCAAGGTCCGTAAACTGTTACAAATTATCATGTATGGTTTGGGATTTATAAGTGTTTGAATTTTTAAGGGCCGCCTTAAGGTAGGGTTAGGGTTAGCGCACCGGAGGTACCAGAAGGTCAAGTTTGGTGTCGTTTGAAAGGTATTAGCCCCAGTATCAAGGTCCGTAAACCGTTTGCACCTATCATGTATGGTTTGGGATTTATAAGTGATTGAAGTTTTAAGGGCCGCCTTAAGGTAGGGTTAGGGTTAGGGCACCGGAGGTACAAGAAGGTCAAGTTTGGTGTCGTTTGAAAGGTATTAGCTCCAGTATTAAGGTCCGTAAACCGTTTGCACCTATCATGTATGGTTTGGGATTTACAAGTGTTTGAAGATTTAAGGGCCGCCTTAAGGTAGGGTTACACAGCACGAAAACAGATATTTAAGCAAAATTTACGACATCCGTATTGAGACTTTAAAGACAGGGAAATATTTAAGCAGACTTTAAGATCGATTAAAGTGTACTGAAAAAGAAATCTAATCTTTACGAAGGATTTTCGCAGTTGTAAATGTAACGTATTACGGCATGTTTCTTTACGCAAGGTTTACAGATACTGAAATATTCAGTTCCGACAAACATGTTAAACTTGTATGTCCCAGAAAGGTATAGGAAATGTTTCGTATTTCTGTTTCAAAACTTAAGTCAAATTTGAAACATGAGTAAATCAATCAGTTATATTTTTAATTTTTTCTACGCACAATTTAAAGCAAGGAGGAAAAGACGCCACATAAATCATCGAGAGCCTTTGCCTAGAACTCTGTTTCCTTTCAACGCCTGACATGAATTGTAGCAGACCTCGGTGCACGCAAATACAAAAAAAAAATTTCGCGTTGTGTTTTTATGGCTTACCAACAAATATATGACGTGTTTAATCTTCCTCTCTGCACACTTTCAGTGTACGGTGGGCAGACGTTCCCTCTTTAGCTTATATGTTCCCAAAAGTTATATGAAAGGTAGCGTTTATTCAACAAATATACGGCACGTTTAATCTTTCTCTACGCACGCTTTAAGCGAACGAGGGGAGAACCTCCCCCCTTTAGCTTATATGTTCCCGAAAACAATATGAAAGGTAGCGTTTATTCAACAACAATACAGCGACAATACGACATGTTTAATCTAGCTTTCCGAACGTGCATTTTAAGTGATATGTTTCCAAAAGCTATAGATGATATGTAGCGTTTTTTCAACAAACATACGACGTGTTTAATCTTTCCCTACGGGTATTCTAAGTGAACGGGGAGGTACCTCCTCCCTTTAGCTTATATGTTCACAAAAACTATATGAAAGGTAACGTTTATTCAACAAAATTTAAATATACGACGCGTTTAATCTTTCTCTACGCACGCTTTAAGCGAACAGAAGGAGAACCTCCCCCCTTTAGCTTATATGTTCACGAAAACAATATGAAAGGTAGCGTTTATTCAACAAATATACGACGCATTTAATCTTTCTCTACGCACACTTTAAGCGAATGGGGGGAGAACCTCCCCCCTTTAGCTCATATGTTCCCGAAAACAATATAAAAGGTAGCGTTTATTCAACAACAATACGGTGACAATACGACGTGTTTAATCTTCCCCAACGCGCAGTTTAATTGATATGTTTCCAAAAGCTATGGATGATATGTAGCGTTTTTTTTTCTAGCAAACATACGCTGTGTTATATCTTTTCCTACGGGTATTTTAAGTGAACGAGGAGGTACCTCCTCCCTTTAGCTTATATGTTCACAAAAACTATATGAAAGGTAGCGTTTATTCAACAAAAATACGACG